AACTAAACTTAACCTTAGTTAACCTAACTTCTTATTAAATTACTTAATTTATAAATAATATACTTATAGCTCTTTATTATAATATTAATAATATATTTATATTATTTTATAATGTATTTAAAGAGGAGGATAATATAAGTAATAAAGAACTAACTCTATTATAAATCTAAGTTATTTATAACTTAATACTTAAGAGTAATAGTTTATTTATTCTTAATTTAACTATTAAGAATATTATATATAATAGATTTAGTATTATTAATATATTAAATATAAATAGTAAAAATTAAGAGGTAAATAGTAGTACCTAACTTAAAATAGAAGTAGTTTACTTATATATTCTAAAGAAAATTAATATTACTATTATTATTATTTAGAGGAAGTTTATTAATATATCTAAATTAATATTAATTTTTGTTAGCACAGGTATAACCGTATTTAGGGGCGTAGTATATGCGCCTATATAGTATAGGGTTATAGATGGGCTTATGTTATGATAAAAGGTGATAATCCTGAGCATTTATAGGCATTTAATCGTATAGATAATAATAAGGGAATTGATGTATTGTGATGACTCTAGTTGTTATTACTTGTGTAGTTGGTAGGTTACTTCCTCTAGTAGGGAAAAGTGAGGGGAAAGATAATCTAAAACGTAACCTGCTAAACTGCTAATTATATAAGGTGCTTATGTAATTATATGTATTATATAATTAATATTATAGTTATAGGTTATAATAAATAAAGTATTTTTATATAAGGTTTNTTATACCTTAAACTTTATTTATTTATTTTATATAGAATATTAAAGTAAGTTAAGCGTTATTATTATTCTTATATTATTATTATTATTATAAAAGAATGTTATATGTTAACAATTTTTACTTAGGTTTATCTATTTATTAGAGGAGTTATTTAGCTAAGTATTTTATAAGTTAATATTATTCCCTCTCTTAAATAAGCTAAAGAGAGAGGTGAAGTTTACTTTATTATTAAGTAGTAATATAATATTATATTAATCTCTAGTAGTATAATAACTAATATATAAATACCTTAAAAAAGTAACTAAGTAAGTATTTTAACTAATATATAGAAA